TGGTTAAGGTACCAGGCTAAAAAATGAAAGACTCTGAGTTCTAGTCCTGCCTTTAGCACAAAGCCAGCTGGGTGTCCTTGGGCCAGTTTCTCTCTCTCAACCCCACGCAATGGCAAATTACCTCAGAGAGAGAGAGAGAGAGAGAGAGAGAGAGAGAGAGAGAGAGAGAGAGAGAGAGAGAGAGAGAGAGAGAGCTATTCTACCACTGTTAACTAAAATTGTGGGGAGATTTCCTAAACCTATATGTTAAATTAAATGCACTTATATACTGAGATCTGCAGTTTGAGAGACTTTGAATGTAATTTGTAACTCAAAAGAAGTATGACCCCAAAACTACTTAGCACATTCACAGTCTGCTTTCTTTAAAATTCTGTAAGTCTTTTTATCTGGTGGGCTGAAAGATACGATATAACAGCAAACACAAAAATAGACATATCTGGCAAGTAGATAACCATTACCTAAATAAGTAATCATTGTGTCCAGAACTTTTATTGCCGCACTGTAAATCCCAGAATTCTTTGAGTTTAAGTTGTCCATCACTATAGTCACCACAGAGAACAGGACTGGAACAAAGCCATTCTTAAGCAGTGGAATCATGGTGACAACTGATTCTAATGCATACTGGTTCACCTTCTTGTTGGAATCCTGAAGCCTCAGTGTAAAAGTATCAAAAATCTGTTAACATTAAGAAAATAAGCAAGTAAATTCTACCATAAATATCAAACACAGAAAACGTGGGAATTTGTCCAACAAGTACATGAAAATTTGCTTTAATATATTTTGCCAGACAAATATCTCTTGTATTCACCCTCATTTATCGAGTGTTAATAGAGGTCATTTGCAACAAATCAAACCACCCTCCAATTCATTCACCAAGGCTCACAGTTAGATGTGAAAGTAGAACTGTTAATGTTTAAGGCATAATAGGATAACTTGGTCATTAAGGATGTTATATAGTTTGAAAGAAAGCTCCCTTTCTAAGTTGTCTACCTTCAAGGTGGGAAACAACAGGTAGAGGAAATATTCTAATGTTCCTATGGGAAGCAGTTTTAAATTTTCAGACTAATAGTATCAGTCTCTCCATGAGATGAAAGCAGAACTGCTTCTACTCCTGATGTTTTAACAGTTAACAAGAAAAAGAAGAACTGGATCTCCAACAAGGAGAGTCCATGTGCCCCAACTATTATAAAGAATTCTTCATAACAAATAATAAATTGGAGAAAAGTAAAAAAAAAAAAAAAAAGAGTACAATTAATTCATCTGGCTGGATGCTAGGATGGTATTGCCCTTGCAACTTTAATAAATATTTATGTTTTAATTAGGGTTACTGGTATTCATAATGGATACCTGCACAATATTTGACGAGACAAAGTGTGGGTTCTTTTTGCAATGGTCCATTAGTAAGGCTATTCCATCTATTCGTATCTGAAATTCCTTGGCCCCAAGCTGTTTGTTCAACTCCTTCAGCTGCTCCATTATTTCTACGCTGCGAAGTGAGGAGCCACGAGCTGCAGGTTGTGAGAAATTAAGAACATCCATGGTAGACCTGGAATTGAAAAGCAAACAGCTTTTCACCATATTTCTGAAACATATGATATTACAGTAAATAATTTTATCAAGCCCTGAAAGGAAACACCATTTTTGGTGTGCCAAATATACCATGCAAGTTAAACAATGTTCACTTAACCTTCGTGAGTCATTCCAGATGCAAGATGGAAGACTCTGAATCAACTTCAGAATAGTACGGTAAATTAGGAAAAGCTGGAGATGAGATTCTTTTAATTTATTTCCTTGAGTTTACAAGTGTATAGCCACTAATTTCTCAGTGATTCTGAGCAGCATATAAAAGATCAAGCTAATTATGGTATTAAAAACTATATATGCAATTAAAAACAAGGCAATACATTAGTAACATTAAAAAAAACCTCTAAACACTCTAAATTGGCAAATGGTGGCTTGTCAAAAGCCTACTTTCCCAGATAACTGGGAGAGATGTTGATGTTTGACACAACTATAATGAGATCTGCAAAAGTCCTGAGGGTGTAGGGCAGATTATAGAAAAGCAAGCAGTGCTATAAGTTTCATGGACTTAAACTTGTGTAAGATTTTCCACAACAAGGTAAGTGTTTTAATTAGTCTTAGAAATAAACTGACATGAAGAGTAGGTATTTCAATATAGGGATGCTTTTTGAGAAACTTCAATTTGCCCACTATACTCAGGGCTAATTGCAATTTCCAAAATGCCCCACAAAAATGCATTACCCTAAATCAAATTTGAGATCATTATGTAACTGATGCAAATAATTCTTCCACTGGTAGGGACACAACTGGTTTATCAACGAAAGCTGATAAAAGAATACTTTTGGCACAGATCTTCTGTGTTTCCAGTGTGCACACTAGATTCAGGAGGACTTTATATTGTGAACTTGTTTCATCCAAAACAAGCATATCATATGAATCCTAAAGACTGTCCCATAGAAATGACAGCAATTCCATCTTGGATGAATTCAGCTTAGTTTTATTCTTTCCCATTCAGTCCCTTACAGGTTCTTGAGAAGTCAGCCCTGAATTTCTAGGAAAGGTCAAGTACAGATCAATATCATCAGCATAGTTCTGATAAAAGTTTCCAAACCTACATATGATCCTACCCAAGGGTTTCATAAGCAATAATTAATAAATAAATAATAAAGACTCGTAACAGGAATCTATAGAATAATTCCAAAAGATGGAACTGATGTTTGCCTATGCCATTTTCAAAAGCCACCAAAAGTGACAAGAGTGGAATCTCCATAAATTGACATCTCCAACTTTCTGGCTTGAAAAAGATAATTGTACAAACAGGTGATGTGAGAGATCCAGAAATATTAATGGGGACTCTCTTCCCGTCTCTCACTTTGCACAGATCTTTTATCAAAGTGACCAAAGATATCTGTATGCCAAATCCAGGACTTAATTTGGATTGAAAAGGTCTGGATAAACTCTTTTCTCTCTCAGTTTTTACACTGCCG